CCCGCCAAGGGGCCGGATCTGAGGAGGGCACATAAACATTTCTGAACATCCTGTTCAGTCCAGGTATCACTATGCCCGACTTTGGCTGTCTGCAGATTCAGAAGTTGGGCACGAGTGTGCCATCTCACGCCTGCCTCCTTGGTGGGGTCGTAGCGTATGAATACGTCTCGGTCTTCTATTTTGTTGGGGCCTGTTGTGATCGAGGCTATTGCCTGTGCCCCTGCTGATAAACTTTCTGAAATATGTTCTTGTAGATGCATCTACAAAATGCCAACCGTCGCCTCAGATATGTTGTTTTGTGGCTCCGCCCAGAATAACCTCCAGCGCTATAGTGTGACCCCCCCCTGCCTGCCTTTCTCCACCGGAGACAGTCCTACCTCTCATTTTTCGTTTTTCTTTTGAACCGGGATAAGCAGTATAGCCTCCTGTGACAAGGAGCCAGAGTCACATCCCAGCTCAATCAAATGTCTGAGTTTTCTTTTTCGTACCAGGTCCTCATCTGGGTCCGAAGGGTCCGGAGGGTCTGGGCCCGACGGCGGGGTTGGTTGCTGTAGAACTGGGGGGTCGAGAGACGTCCGGGTCCGTTCAGTGTCTGTCGTGCCCGTCAAATCTATCCTATTCCACTCTGCAGTATTTGTGGGTGCTGCGCGTGGTGGTTGAAAACGAGCAAACACTAATGTGGTCAGTCTGTGCCATGCATCCGTCCACTTCACCCCCGATTGTAGTCCATTTTCCAATACATTTTTGAGTGAGGCGCTCGTATCTAACATGGGAAATAATTCTATGTACGTCTTGTCCCAGAAGTCATCAGTAAGGGGACCATGTTTGGCTTTCAGATTCCCCATCAGCCAGTCTGCGATGGCGACCAGTTTCTGCTCTATCGGTAGATGTGGTGGCGGTGCCTCCTCCGCCTCGTTTTCCGGGTCACATTCCGGGACCAAGACTTCCGGTGACGTGCTGGCGTTGGCCGGGAGTGGGTCCACCTCCATTGGTTCTGAATCAAACGCTGCCTGGAAGGGGTCACTGTTGATCTCTCCTGCTGTCTTCCTTGATTGTTCCAGCTTCTCAACCCCAGGCAGTCCCACCTCCACCTCCACCTCCATACTTCCTACGTCCATCAATTCCTCCGGTTGTCTCTTTACCTCCACCTGTCCCAACCTCCACCTGTCCCAACCTCTTGTCCACTTGTGTTGATGTCTCGTCCATCCGTGTGCTGCTCCCTTCCCCCCTCTGTTGTATCTGTTGTGAGGGGGCGTCCGTAGGAGGTTCCTTGGTACCGTCTGTACCTTCCTCCTGAATGTACAGCTTAGCAGCGGGACCCAGGGTGGCGCTGGAGTTATCATTTTCTTTTTGCCCCGGGCCGGGTTTCGCCTGCTCTTTTTGGACCCATTTCTCTTTTCCTGCTCTCCTGCCCACCGTTTTCCATCCTGAGGTTTCCGGGTCACCCTGCTGAAGGCGTGCCTGTGTCTCGTGTGATCGCTTCTCCACTGGGGCAGGGGGGTTCCATCCTGAGGTTTCCGGGTCACCCTGCTGAAGGTGTGTCTGTGTCTCGTGTGCTTGCTTCTCCACTGGGGCAGGGGGGGTCCATGTGTTTGGGGGGCGCGTCCCCCAGTCCGGTTCTCCGGATTTTTCCCATTTCCATCCGATCGAGATGCCGTCCTTCTGGCAGTGCTCAATATAGACCCATCCTTCGTGTCCCGGGTCCACTGTCCTCCAATGGGTCACCTTGACCGGATCTCTCAGCAGTCTTCCGGTTTCCCGGGTTCTTTTTTGCGGATGGAGCAGACAGATATACTCGGTACTGAAATGTCCATATGCCCTACATTTGTGGCACCACGACCTTAGTTTGTGTGCCGTGTGGATCGTGTACTCCCTTCCTCCAACCTGATACGGGATCACGTCATCTAGGGAGAACGGGTGGCCCTGGGGAAAGTCCAACGCCAACATTAAGTAATCATCCCTTGTGGCCACGTAGGAGGGGAGGGGGTCTATGAATGCTACAATGTCATACAACAATCCGAAATCGTATACGAATGCAGCCTGAATTTCGACTGGGATATGGCGAAACTCCACCCAGTAGAAATCTTGCATGAGTTGTGCTCTCCTCTCTTCTGGCCCCAGTCTACGCTGTGGTGTCCATGGGTGAATACGAACCTCCGACCGCTCACAGCACAAACACTTCCATCCGTCCATCGTCATTTTGTCTGATTCCTGCAGGCTCAGGGTTGTGAACAAGGTGTTAGAGACTGGTTGGATGAGGAAATGGTCCCGGGCCAAATCGATGCTACTTTTCAATGTTTCCAGTCGGTGGGCGATCCACTTTACTTTCTCATCGACCGATTTGTAAGCGTCGTCGTCATGAAACACCCAGTTACTAGCGTGTTTTAGGTAAACCTCGTCTCGGCAGGCTATGCCGCTTTTGGGATATGCCTTTACCATAGCCTGCTTACCCTTGTGTGTCACCACACGAGTTTCTGAGGGGAGAAAAAATTTCTTCATGAAAAAGGCCCGTGCTTGTGACACCCCATCCAAGGGGATCTCGAGATTCCCTGTTCGCGGGCTGCCCTGACTCTGATGGATGGTAAGGGCCTGGCCATGGAGTGGGTTTTTATTTTTTAGCTTGTCTGCCAGGTGAGTTGCGACTGGCCAGTGCTCGATCCCTGAGCTGGAGGAGGGGGCTTCTCCGTGTGCTGTGTTTTCCCCCGTAGCTCCACTTCTTTCTCCTCCTCCGTCAGGACCCCTGTGTCCTCCATTTGCTTCCCCTCCTTGCTCACCGCCAGCTCCCCCTATGGGGGGGGTGTGGGGCAGAGTTCTTTGAGGCGTTTTGCTGGTGAGACCAACGTTTATGTTGCAAATGTTTGTCTGCCAGTTGTCTCATTGCCCCGCTGTAGAACAACATCGAGTCCAATCTCTTATGTGCTCGCTGCAGTCTGTTGGGCTTCATGATCATGGAGTGGGTGAACTGACAATCGATCTGCCTGTACAAGAGCCCCAGTGTCCCACGGGGTTTAGATTTTTTGTGTTTTGTTTTTGTTTTTTAATTGTTACCATCCACTGCGAACCGCCAAAGGAACAGGCCATGAAAGAGCCAATGTGGGACTAGTTCGGCAAGGGAGATAGTAGCCTCACCAGAAAGACGGCCTCGCAGTGGTGGGCTTCATATGGTGGGAAGCATAAGGTACTTCAGAAGATCGCAACAAGGGCAACTGCCATGTGGAGCACAGTGACGCCCGCAGAGAGAAATTGGTCCTCCCTTGATTTGGTGCAAACAAAGAGAAGGAACAATCTCTCCATTGAGAGTGTTGCAAAGTTGGTGTACGTCCACTGGAATATGCAGTTGAGTATGGTGCGTCGCGGTCTGAAATTGTGGCTTTTTGGACATTTGGGGCACATTCTTTGATGATCCGGAGCCTCCGAGCGCAAAAGACGCGACGGTTTTGCCAGGCTCTTTGGAGGAGACCGAGGAGGAGAATGCGAGACAGGCAAGACTAAGGAAAGCCCCCAAAGGCAGGATTCCAAAAGGAAGGGACACTGACGATACCTCTGATTCTGAGAGCAGCGACAAATACCTCATATGGAGTGGGAAAGGAGAGAATGGAGGAAGGAGGAGACAACCAGCACGGGACGCGAAGGGCAAGGCTACGATGGTTGAGGAGAGCGGTGAGGAAAATTGTAACGGGCGCAGAGGCAGAGGACGAGGAGGGAGCAGAGGGAGAGAGAGAGTGAGAGCACACACACACACTCACTCACTCATGCGACTGAACTCGACCGGACGCAGATACAGTGGCAAGGCACAAAGTCGAAGTCTTGGATTCCGAATGCCAAAACAGCAAGTCACACTGAGTACGAGTTTGTCTGTCGGTCTGTGGGTGGAATGCAGTGTTGTACCTGAGCGTGGTTCTGTAGGCATGGAAGAGTTGTTTCCAGAATTGGGAGAGGAAGCGGGGGTCGCGATCACTGATGATATTCTCGGGGAGGCCGTGGTGTCGGGTGACATGGTCGAAGAAGAGAATGGCGATGTCTTTGGCATTGTACGAGGTGGTACAAGGAATGAAATGAGCACGTTTGCTCAGGCGGCAAACGATGACGTAGATGCAATCATGCCCGCGGTCGGTCTTGGGAAGACCGCACACGAAGTCCATGGAAACGGACTGCCATCGGTGCGTGGGGATGGGCAATGATTGGAGCTTACCGGGTTTGGCCCGGTTCGAGGGGTTGACAGCCTGACATATGGGGCACGAGCAGATGTAGGCTTTGACGTCGACAAGGATAGAAGGCCAATGGAAATATCGGGAGATGGTGTCAAAGGTTTTTTGGAAACCAAGGTGGCCAGCGGTCTTGGCGTCATGGTGCTCGACCAAGAGCTCGGTGCGGAGGCCACGAACGTCAGGGATGCAGAGTCGGCGAGTGCCTTTGGTCTCGATGTAAAGGAGGTTGTCATGTAGGGAGTAGTCAGGGACGGGGTCGAGGTCGTGAAGTTTGTTGTAGATGGTGGAGAAGTCGGGGCAAGAGAGGTATCCTTGGGTGTAGCGATGGCAGGAGCTGGATGTGGGTCATGGCGACATAGACTTTCTCGGGGGTTTGTGATCGGGGCGGCGGGAGAGGGCATTGACAACGCGGTTGCTCTTGCCAGGGGTGTGACAAATGGTAAAGGTAAATTGGGCAAGGAAGTCTAGCCAGCGGGCTTGGCGAGGGGTGATGTCTTTCTTGGTCAAGATGGAGGAGACGACGGTGTTATCGGTACGGATGGTGAAGTATTGCCCGTCCATGAGCTCACCCGTGCCACCGAACCCTTCACTTGGACAGACCGCCGCCAAGCCGCCTTCGACAAACTCAAGGAGCTCGTCACCACTGCCCCTGTCCTCAAAATCGCCTACCCCACTCGCCACTTCTTCATCACCACGGATGCCTCCGACTAAACATCGGAGAAGTTGCGGATGAAGGGGCGGTAGTAGTTGGCGAGTCCCGTGAAGGAGCGAAGTTGAGTTAAAGTGGTGGGAGGCGGGAACTCGACGAGGGCAGAGACCTTTTTGGGGTCCATGCGGATGCCGTCGGTGGAGATAGTGTGACCAAGGTATTCTATGCTAGAGGCAGCAAATGTGCATTTGCTGAGCTTGGCGTATAATTTCTGGTCGCGAAGGATCGAGGTGGGATTCGAAGGTGGGGCTAAAAACAAGGATGTCGTCGAGGTAGATCACGATACCGAGGAGGTCGCGGAAGATGTGGTTCATGGTGGATTGGAATGTGGCGGGGGCGTTGGTGAGACCGAAAGGCATTACGAGAAACTCGTAGTGCCCGAAGCGGGAGCAGAAGGCGGTTTTGTGGGTGTCCTCCTCGCGGATGCGGATCTGGTGGAAGCCGCTGCGAAGATCGATCTTGGTGAAGTATTTGGCTCCACGGAGGCGATCAAGAAGTTTGGATATCCGGGGAAGCGGATATTTGTTCTTGATCGTGATCAGGTTCAAGGCGCGGTAGTCCGTGCACATGCGGAGTTTCGAGGTGTCGTTCTTGTTGACGAAGAGACAATTGGTGCCGAAGGGGGAGGAGCTAGGCTTAATAAATACCTTTTCAAGGAGTTCATTTCTTCGGCCTCGGGGACGGAGAGCTGGTATGGGGGGTGCCAAGGGGGGGAGCGGTCGGGCTCAAGATCGATGGTGTGGGAAACACGTTGGTCGGGAGGTAGTCCGGCGGGCAAGTACTCGGGAAACACGTCTTTGAATTCGGATAGGAGGGCGGAGATCTGAGGGTCGGAGGGGGGGTCTTGGTCGGGTTTGTCCGTTGGAAGCAAGTCCTTGGAACGGTCGCGGTCAATGACAAGGCAATAGTAGGCGGAGTCGGGGTGCTCACAGGTCATGTGAAGAAATTGGTGAGGAGAGACAGGGGAAGTGGTGGAGGGAGGGAGAAGGTAGGGGATGTCAAGGGGTGGACTGGGAGGGGTGGAGAGGCGGACGAAAGAGGGGTGGAAGGTATAGGGCATGTAGCGGTCGAGCCAAGGAGTCCCGAGTACGATGTCGCACATGAGGTGCATAACATCGAAGGAGACCTGACTGCGAAGAGGGCCGACAATCATTGTGGTCTCGGGGACTGTGCGGTCGACGACGATGGCTGAGTCCTTATCCCCTAGACGGATGGTGATCGGGGAATCATAGTCAGTGGAAGAGAGGCCGGCTTTGTGGACACAGGCATCCGTTTTGAAGTTGTCGGTGGCACCAATGTCGAGAAGGGCCCGGAACTTCACCGTCGATGCTCCAAAGGAGACGGTGATGAACTTGAGCTGGAATTGGGCGGTCCCGGCACAAGCGGAGGAGATCATGGCGTTGAGGCGGCGCTGCTCGAAGCCTAATCTAACAAGCCGAGTGTGTCGGTCTTGTTCCTCAACGAGATTGGAGAAAGTGATGGTGGAGGGGTTGGGGAGGAGGGTAGTGGAACATTGGCCGTGGGGTGCTCAACCGACGGAATAGAGGACGTCGTCGGGAGGAGGGCAGGCGGAGTAGACTGCGACGCCGGGGGGGTGTCCGGTGTGAAAGTCGTCGCCGGCAGACGAATTGTTGATGCCAGGACATGGCTACAAGGGGCGCGGGGAAAAAGAGGCGAAGGAAATTCAGGATTTCAATGTACAGCACCAAGATCACGATACGATGAACCACTAAGGAACTCCAGGAACGCACAACCGGCAGCATCAGTCTCTGGCATCGACGAACAAGGGGATCAGGGTCAGGGGTTCGGGTTCCATAATGTCTATCCGAACCCGGTCTTCCAACTTCAATCCCAGCTGTTCCAGATGGAAGCCATGCTCGCACAATTTCTACAGGGAATGCTGAACTTTCACCTAGGGAACCCTACTCTAACGCTGCAACCATCCGGGTATCTCCCGCAAGCCCCAGGGGCAGCGGTCAACAAAAAAAAAAATCTCGGTCTTAATTGTTATGTTTTTATACACCCTTATGTTGAAAATGAGTTGACTATATTGAGTAACAACAGTTGTCTAACACGCACCGGTTTTTAACCTTGACCGATAAACACACATGTGTTAAACCTTACTTCAACACAAGAAACGTTCACGACTTCGCTGCGGGCTTCCAAATCAATATGACAAACATTTTACAACGTTGTTCCAACGTTTGATGATGAGTTAAGTCATCTGTGGTTATATTGTATCCCTGATATGCGCAAACGTTTGAGAATTTATTGCCTAACTCATTGCAATGTCTGAGCAACATTGAAATATCGTAAAAAAAATATGTATATATCGTTTAAAAATAGTTGGAACTCTCAACGTGACAATCAATGTAGATCTATCGCGACACTTATCCCCCAACCTCTCTCTCTCTCTCTCTCTCTCTCTCTCTCTCTCTCTCTCTCTCTCTCTCTCTCTCTCTCTCTCTCTCTCTCTCTCTCTCTCTCTCTCTCTCTGTGTGTGTGTGTGTGTGTGTGTGTGCGTATGTGTGCGTTCCACAATATGTATTTGTCGTTATATCACATGAGGAATCGACGTCTAAATATGGTTATGTTTTTTTTGTCGTGAAAACCTCTTAACTGATGCAAATATCATAATTATCAATACTTTCCTCGACAAAATAGACATCGGCCACCTACTTTTCATTGTACCTATTATATTTCGTCCACAATGAGGCATTTTAAACATGACCACGAAAGTCTTTTGTCCACTAAACAAAATAAAAAATTGCACAACAATTGAGACATTCTACAGTCGTCTTTGTTGTTCATTCACCCAAATTGGCATAACAATACACAACACACCTATAACACATGTCTGCAAAATCACGTCGTCGTACAAAACACACATCATACCGAACAGGTCTCCTTTGTTTGTTTCCTACCTCTTTCTACATACCTCTCTCTCTCTCTCTCTTAGTAGTTCACGATATCATATTCAACTCTAACGACCTCTTCACATTTATCTTGCCGTACACGAAGTCCAAGTACTACACAGAAGGTACAAAGTACTAATGTCACAAATGTCTCAAGGTCTCTCTCTCTCTCTCTCTCTCTCTCTCTCTCTCTCTCTCTCTCTCTCTCTCTCTCTCTCTCTCTCTCAATAGTTCACGATATCATATTTAACTCTCACGACCTCTTCACCACCACCTTGTTGTACACCAAATCAAAGTACTATACGAAAATTACAAAATATTAATGTCACAAACGTCCTAAGGCCTCTCCTCAGCAATCACCTCGTCACTATCTTCAAAAAATTTCAAAAATCTATGATCATTCTTCATTTGAACGACCTCATCTTTTGCATTCTTTCTGCCAGCAAATTGTCATTCCTAAATATTCATAGATCTCTGCAGAACGGTGTTATCTCGATCGAGAGAGATTACTTTTATAATCACTTTTCCGATACCAATCTTGCAAGTTGTCACGATGGTTTCTTCTATCCTTCGTATTTCCTTGCTTGTTGCTGCCGTGCGTGCAAGCCGACTTTTGTTGCTGATGTGACAATCTAACACCAAATGAGCGAATGCGAGTTGTTGAAGAGTGCAACCATTTCGACCTGCTTCATTCCAATCTCTGTATAAAACGCCTCGCACGACATTCTTAAACTCTGTTGCGCCCCATGACTCTTCACCTCTCACTCCCCATGATGAATCTTCGACCATTTTCGTGCTCATCTCCTCTCGCCCTTTTTTAAAACGATCTCTTATAGTTCCGCGTGGATAAGGTAGCCCCACGACGCTCCAAAAAGCTCTGACGATGTCGTAAGCGATCTCTCCTCTGATGTTCGTCAACTCCCTTGATCCCTGTGTGCGAAGTGTTGTCGGTGTTGTGCTCTTCATCGACCAATCCACGATGAATCGTTTATCCGGGACCAAAAATTTGGTGAGACCCATGAAGGCATCCACATACGTGTCGACTGACGGATACATCTCTGCATCCTTGGCTCGAGATAAATAAAAGGCCTTCGGTACACAACGCATCAATTGCTTTACTATTTTGGAGTGCGCATATAACGTGTAGATGTTGTCACTAATGTGGTTGTTGACCTTGCTTTTCTCTAAAGTATCTTGTTTTTCACGTCCTCGCCAAACTACACAGACACAGAGGGCGAACAAACAAAGAGAAAATAAAAAAAACTGAGGCCACAATTATAATGACAATGACTTTTAGTTGTTCGTTAAAAACGTACAAATCGTAAGCGAGAATGCATATACGAGAATCATTTTGAATGTTGTTGTCTTTTTCTTACACATTTTTATAATGTTACAAACAACTTCATACAATTTCACAAAATATTTCACCTATTGTTTTCTCGTTTCTGAAGTGTGCGTCATTCTCGTCATCGTCTTCACGACTCTCTTCATTATCATCATCCTCATTTTCATTCGATTCACGTTCACCAAAATCGTCGCTGTCTCTGTTGTTCTCGTCCTCTGATTCGTCCTCTTCCATAATTGTTTTTTTTTGCTCCGACTGCTGGTCCTCGCACTCTATCCATGATGCTTGTCGACCTCGTTGTTCCACATGCCGCTCCCTGTACTGAATGTCGTGACCTCCAGTGTGTATGCCTCCACTGCTCTCGCCCGCCTGGCGACCACAACGAATGCTTCCTTCGATATCCTCACCGCTTCCTCCTACTTGTGCACTATCCACATCAGTCGCTTCATCCTTGTTGTGGTCCCGTTTCTTTTCTGTGACATACTTAGTTGGAGCAAGAGGTGTTGCACCACCCAGTGTTCTCCTACGTACTATCTTCGACTTTGGATTATACTTCGAAGACTCCTCGCTGCGCCGGATGTCAATATCGTTATCTCCCTTCTCCGTTTCTTTCATCTGTAATTTCCGTTTGCTCGCTTCGCGGTGCATTTCGACCAAATTTCTTATCCAAGGCTCCGTTTTTGTTCGTACAGTCTTAACTTCTTCAAATTTTTCATGTCGTGTAATATCTCGAGTTCTGTTTCGTTCTTGTACGAGACGTGCACCAACATTCATCTGATGTTGTCACACCCCTTCTTCACGAACTCAAAACCTTCGTTGCGTCGATGTCCCTGTTAATTCTGGACCTCCACGAGTCCGTAATGTGTGCTTGTCCATTGGTGGCAATTACTTTGTCGCTCTATATCACTCGCCGGTTTTGTGATGAAGCACGAGACACATAACATAGCACATGCAAAATTTGTCATCAGTAAAATTTCATCTGAGTAGCGCGGCTTTATCTCGACCCTAATTTCTTTAAAAAAATCAATATTTTCACATTATATATGCAATGATAAATTTGTGGATTTATGTTTAATATTACACCTTCCTTGTGTTATCTTTATCTTTATTTGCGTAGTTGTTCTGTGTTTCGACTAACGAAATCCCGTTTTTCGTTGCATGTCCATATTCTTACCTCAGCTTTTGCACTACATCCTTGATTATTTTATCGGTGTCTTCCTCATGCTTGATGCAAACTTCTTGAAAATAACGTACCTAGCACTTGTTGTCTGTGTTGCGCATGCCATGGGGTATGACTCTGCCAAAACCTTCATCATTATTTGTCGTTGCTCACAAGGCTTTCTTGACAACAAAGGTTCGCAAGCCTTCGTCATTGTATCTTTCGTGAACTCGAAGTCCTCACCGTTTGCGATGCACATAAGAATACTCTCAACATTCCTCGTGGCGAATACGCCACAGTCGTTTGAGTTCCGTTGTTGCTGGCAATCAATCTCGTTGATGAAAGATACACCTTGCATCAATGATTTTCATGTCAATTCTATAGCCGGGGTCATAACTTCAACATCGGCTGAATACTGTAGCGTCATGTGTTCATAAAAGAAATAGGCTAACAAAGGTTTAAACGGAGGATCGTCCATTTGTT